CTGCAGGTCCTGCTGAGCCGGGGGGGGCATGGGGTCCTGACCCCACGTTTCCCCCCAGGCCCTACTCTGCCCCTTCAAACTCCCCCCACTCAGTGCATGCAGCAGTGTGTACCCACGTCCCTGCACAGCACTGGCTTCCCCTCCCTTACACTTCTCCAGGGGTCCATATGCTCCTGCGGGAAGCCCCCCACTCCCCGCAAATCCCAGCCTGCTCTTCTGGTCTGCTATTGCTGCCTAGCACCTCTATCCAGGTGCACCCTCTGCAGCCCCAATACACGATCGCGGCTCCCTGCCACGTCTCGGTGGCCGAATGCACCCCTTGCACCCACTCCCATGAGCACCCAGCTCTGCTAGGCCAGTGGCAGGGGTTGCTTGGGCACAGGAGGTCCTTTTTTGGTGCCTGCTCTGCTCTTGCCTTCGGAGCCGACAGGCTCGGGATGAGACGCACCGAGAGCTTGGAGCCCTGCATGGGAGAGATTCCCAGAGCTACATAGACCACGTGCCCCTACCCTGTGGCCATGCTCTCCCTTGCCCATTGTCCTGCAATCCCCCCGCCAGGCCCCACTGGCCCTGTAGGTTTGCTGCCCCTTCCCAGAGCCAGATGGGCCAGTAAGTTTGTTGCTCATCAGGTCCTGAAGCCCCAGTAGGCATAACCCACCCACCCATGCGTCACCCTCCACAGGCCTGCTACTGTCATGGGTATATCCTCCACAGGTGTACCCCTACCCCCACCCAAGACCCGAGTAACCCTGCCCATATCTCATGTCCTCCCAGAGCTTGAGGTCCCCCTGCGCCTGTTCTTTCCCAGGGCTCGATGCCTTGAGGGGCATGTCCCACTGCTCCCAAGGCCTGACGCCCCCATGGGTGCAATCCCTGCCATCCCAGCGAGGACAAGAGGCCTCAGCTAAACTGTCTGGTGCTGGCCTAGCACCCTGGGGGCTGGGAGAGGCTCCCTTCCTGATCCAGCTGTGTCCTGGGAAGCCACGAGGCCTTGGGGACAGGTTGCTGTCACCCCAATGTCCCGTAATGTCAAGACTGGCTACTGAGCCTCCCGTTGTTAAATCCTGGCATGGCTGGAAGGTCCAGCTGCTGGCCGAGGTCCAGGGGCAGCTGGCCCCCAAACACCTAGCAGTCAGATACCCCTTAAGCCAAGCCTTGCTGGTCTCCCCTATGCCCAGCCTCATGCACCCCTGGCGCCTGGTTTCCCACCAGCTCGGCCATGTGGAGCACCCCAGCACGCTCTGCTCCATCAGCCCACAGCTCTCCCTGCCCCTCAACCTCCCCCCCACCCATCAGGGCACATCCAGAAGACAGGCTGCATCTGGGTCTCCCCTGTGCAGAGCCGGGAGTGACTTCTACATCTCAGCAAGCTCATGTACCCATCAACCAGGGACTGGCACCTGTGATTTTTCCACCCTTGCTTTTTAACCACTAGATACAGCTAGACCCAGAGGTCTCGGCTAATGGCCTGGAAGTGCCAGGTCCTGGATGGATTTCTGCTGCTAATTATGTGCCCTTTGTTGCCAAGAAGGCTAAGGGCATCCTGGGCTGCATTGCTAGGAGCGTTACCAGCAGACAGAGGGAAGTGATTCTTCCCCTTTATTCGGCACCGGTGAGGCCACATCTGGAGTCCCGTGTCCAGTTTTGGGCCCCCCGCTACAGAAAGGATGTGGGGGAATTGGAGAGAGTCCAGCGGAGGGCAACAAAAATAGCTGGGGTGGCTGAGGGACGGGACTAATGAGGAGAGGCAGAGGGAACCAGGCTGATTTAGTCTGCAGAAGAGAAGACCGAGGGGGGATTGAATAGCAGCCTTCAACTCCCTGCAGCGGGGTTGCAAAGAGGAAGGAGCTGGACTGTCCTCAGTGGGGGCAGATGACAGAAGGAGCAATGGGCTCACGTTGCAGCAAGGGAAGTTGAGGTTGGATATTAGGAAAACCTCTCTCACTAGGAGGGTGGTGAAGCATTGGTCCGGGTTACCTAGAGAGGTGGTGGCATCTCCATCCTTGGAGGTTTTGAAGACCCAGGTAGACCAAAGCCTTGGCTGGGATGATGTAGTTGGGGCTGGTGCTGCTCGGAGCAGGGGGGTGGACTCGATGTGGCCGCCTGAGCTCCCGTCCCACCCTCATCGTCTCTGATTCTGTGATTCGTCTCCTGCCGCCAGCAGGGCTACGCGCCACGCACTACGCGAGGGTGCAGATGGCAGCCCACCCCCCCCGAACGCCACAACCCGCCGACCATGCACAGACCTGTAGGTGCCGTGTGTGGTACAAATCGCGACTTTATTGTAATGCGGGCTGGTCAGAAAGCAGAGTCCTTACAGCAAGAGAATAACAAGCGTTAGGCACGGAGGGGCCGAGGCTCCGTGGGCACTTAGCGGGTGAGGCTTTGTTTCGTATCTTGGGGCAATCCCGGAGCAGGGAGAGCAGGGCGGTCGAGGGAGCTTTAGTCTCTCCTCTGCTCGCTGGCCCTTCCGCTTTCATGGCTGTGCACGTGGGCTTTCAAGGCAGCACCAAGGCAACGTACCAATAGTCTGCAAGTGTCCCAGCCTGACCTGAGTCAGTACGGCCCACGCAGTCTGTCCTGTCGCTCCCGGGAAGACCCTGTCCCAGGCCGGCTGTCCAAGAGCAGGCAGCTGCGGTTGCAGAAGAAGGTCCCACTAAACATCTGGGTTGTCCGCCCAGATCTCAAGGAAGCCTCAGGAAAGGCGGCAGGGAGCTGGGATGAAGTTCTTCTCCATGGCACTTCCAGCAGGGTTTGCCAATGCCAGGGCATCGATCCAGCTGCTTTCCACGGCACCCAGCACCCAGCAAAATGGGCTGAGGTTGCTCTCACCTCACCAAGTGAGACCCAGGGTGACCTCCTGCCTGGCTATGGAAAGCAAGTCAGGCCTGGCTGCAAGGAGAGCTCTGCTGAGCACGACTTAACGGAGACACAGGCCTGCTTTTGCATTATCCAGTCCCGCGGAGATGCCCCTAGGCTCTTCCTTTGGAAGGCCGAGGCCTTGAGATCCCCCGTGGGCAAATACCCTGACTTGCAAAGCAAAAGCAAGCCCCGATATACAGGTTTGAACTGGTTACTTTGACCAGCTCCTCCAAAATAAATTATCTTTCAGAGTTTTATACACAGTCTCCAGGCAAGCAAAGGGGTCCGTGCCTGGCTTGGGACCCCGCATCCTCAGGGGGTCTTTGTCAAAGGACAAGGCATGGGGGGCTTCTTCATTGTGCCAGGAGGGAGGCCTCGATCCTTGGGGGAGCCGGCTTGGTTCGCAGGCACCGGGCACGAATGGGATGGCTGGCTTTTTTGCTGGCTTATAGGCTATGGTTGGGGTTGAGGCTGAAGTCTGGATCCTCCCTCCTCACGGGAACACCTAGGGGGAGAGAGGCAGAGTCAGAGCACAGCCAGGCACCTCCCTGCACCCCAGACCGCATCGCTGCCCCGGGGCAGATGGACCTCGGGGACAGGGCTGGACACACACACGCGGCCACAAACACGTCCACTCAGACCCAGCTGCTGAGCATGTAAGTGCCCTGTCCTAGCTCCGACCCTTGGTGTTGGGGTTCAGGGCCCAAGTGGGGGTGGGAATGCAGGTGGGGAGGACTAGCAGCATGTCCTTATATTCATCTGTCCATCCCCATACCCCATCCATCCATTTTTATATGTCCCTTTCCTTCCTTCCTTCCTTGGGGGCAGTCACACGGTTGCAGAAAGCAGAGGTTGGACTGGGTCTGAGCAGGGTTTTTCCCCCTGTTCCTCTCTCCCTTGTAGCCTCCAGCATTGCAGGCCTGGGAAGGTCTGATTCAGAGCCCATGCCCTGAGCTTACCAGCAAGACACCCCAAACGTGGCAGGCCATGCCATCGACCACCCGGGAAAGTAGGGCTAGGACCCCGGCTGGCCTGAACCAGGCAGTGAGAGCTGCCTTTGCTGCAGGAGCATGAGGCCGTGTTTCCCTTGCAATGCCGGTGGGTCCCTGCAAGGTGAGGCCACATCTGGAAGCTGCCCTGCATGGCCAGCCTGGAGCCACAGTGCAGGGCCTGCTCAGCCAGTCCTCTTCAGCCCCCATTGCTACAGCGTGACGTGGGCCGTGCACAGCCTGGGGCCGCTCTGGAGGCAGCACCTCTACCTGCCCGATGCTCTGGACCAGAGGGGTGAGCTCTCCTTTCTTGCAGGATGGGGACAGGTTGGAAAGACCCCAGCGGAGAGCAACCAAAATGACAAAGGAGGAAAGGCTGGAAGAGCTAGGGGTGTTTAGTCTGGAGAGGAGAAGGCGGAGGGCAGGACGGATGTGAGCACAGTCTGCAAAACATCTGCAGGATGAGCACGGGGAAGGGATTTTCTCTGTGGCCACAGGGGACATGACTAGAAGCAGCGGCCTCCAGCAGGGGAAACTGAGGCTGGAGGTGAGGAGGAACTCGTCTGCTCGGAGCGGGGGCTCGAGCACTGGATCAGGCTGCCCGGAGACCTCGGCACTTTCCAAGAGCAGGTTGGACCCCAAGGTCCGCGGTGATCCTGCCTTGAGCAGGGGCTGGGCTAGACGTGGCCTTCCGAGTTCCCTTCCAGCACAGCTTTCTTATGATCCTATGAATCCCACATCCGCTCAAAGGGCCCTGCTCCGTCACTCCAGATGTGGCAGGGACCGGGCTAGAGGTTCCCAGGCAGGCCTGCCCTTGCCTGGCTCCCCTTCATACCCGTAACACCCAGGCTACAGACTCGGGCCCACTGCAGGAGACCACGGGTGCCTGGATGATGGGCCAGTCTGATCCCACTCAGGGACTGACCCCTCCACACGGCCGTGTCCCCCCAACCCCCCTCCATCGCCCAGAGCGGAGCAGCTCCAGGACGTGGGAGTGCAGCCACTGGGTGTCAGCCTTCGCCAGCTGGCTGCGCCGTCGGGGCCGTGCCGGCCTGCGTTCCCAGCCCTGCTGATCTGATCCAGCCCTGGGTCTGATCCAGGAGCAGCTGATGTCCCCAAAGGCTGGGACGTGGCCTTGTGGGGCTCAAGCGCCAGGCAAGCAGAAAGGCTGGGCAGCGGGCACTCTCCACCTCCCCAACCCCTCATGCACCAGCTGGATGAGTGTCCAAAGGCTGGCTCCATGCACACAGGTCCCGGCCCGGCACCGTGCACTGAATTCAACCTGCGGTCCCTTCCCGAGGGCTGGCCCGACTCCACGCACAAGATCCAGCCATGGAGTGAACCCGCGCGCCAGCACGGGGCCGTGTCCTCCGGCCCATCCTTGAGGTCCGGGCATTTGGCTGAGCTCAGTGAATGAATGCCACCACGGCTGCCTGTTTCCAGCCCCACAGGGAGCTCTGTGGGCAGGAGGACACAGCTCCCGCAGGCCAGACTTGGCGCCCAGGCTAGAGGTGGAGCACCACTGTCCTCAACCATCCTGTATCCAACCTCCTCTCGGGAAGCCCCAGCGCAGGGGATCCCCTGGCTCACCCGGGTAGCTTCTCCCACTGATCTTCTAAGGTGTCCCAAGCCTGTCGTCCCCTTGCTTCATGCCTATCCCTCTGCAAGGAGGGAGAACAGCTCCTCCCCTCTTCCCCAGCTGCTCTGTCCCTCTTCATCTCCCCTGCTCCCAGCTGAGCCCCCCCTGCACCCTGCTCCATTCCAGCTGCTCCTCTGGATCCCCTCCAGCTGCTCCACATCCTCCGCGGAGAGCCAGGAGGGAGCTGCCGTCCTCTGGCTGCTGCCCCCCAGGGCTGCACAGAGCCCCCCTGGGCCACCAGCCTGGCTGCTGGCAACCGCAGCACTGTGCCACGCCATGCCCTGGGTGGATGCAATGGGGAAGGGACCCCAGGCTCATTGCTTTGCTGTGAGATCCACCCTTTAGTGAGCAATGGGGGAATCCATCCCTATGCACACCCCACCCCAAAGCACCCGGCCTGGCCCTATGATGTCTGCCCGCCCCAGCTGCGAGGTGGGCAAGGTGCCCTTTCCTCTTCTCATCACACCTCCTAGCCCTTCATGCTACCTTGGGGGGAGACAGAGTTGGGGCACCACAGCATGAAGCCAGCCACCGGGAGGGGTTTGGCCCCCTGGCAAGGCAGGTGCCTTGCAGAAGAGCACCAGGCACATTTCCACTCAGCCCTGGCATCTGCAAGCAAGGTGGCAGAGACTGTTGCCCACACAGGCCAACATGCTCGGGGTAGACCTGCAAGCAGCAGGAGAAGGCAGGAGCCGTGGGCCCCCGAATGCTGCGGTTTGGGGGGTGTGGGGGGGGGCTCATTAGGCAGCACTTTCTGGGGAAAAGGCCAGTTTCAGCCCAGCCTGAAGCATCTTGCACTTGCTATGGTGACAGTCCACGACCAAGGCGTAAAGTTGGGAGAAACACCGTGTACCGAGAAAGTCCCCATTTAAAGAGAGTCCACCAGGAGACCAGAACAACAGCTTCCTTTCACTGAGACCCTGGAGCTTGGTTCATATTGCAGCAGCCCAGGAGGACAGCAAATTAAAATTATGACCACGAGCTTGTCCCCCAAGCATCTAAATCACCGGCTATTCAGGAGCAAAAACATGCCAGGCACGGGGAGATGTACCACTCGCCTCCAGTGCAAAGCAGAGCACGCAAGCTCCCTTCGCTGCGGCACTGAGGGAGGTGATGCCAATTGTAGCCCTGGCAGCTAGGGAGGAACTGAGTCTACCTACATGTGTGTTTGCGGGAAGCGACACAACAGTCAGGCCTCCTGATGGTCCTTTTGGGTGTCACAGCCCAAATGTGGCTCATTTTAGAAACCATGAGGGTTGGAAGGGACTTCGGGAGGTGACATTGAGTCCAACCCCCTGCTCCAAGCAGGACCAGCCCCAGCTACATCATCCCAGCCAAGGTTTTGTCCTAAAAACCTCCAAGGATGGAGACTCCACCACCTCTCTGGGGAGCCTGTTGCAGTGCTTCACCACCCTCCTGGTGAGAAAGTTTCTCCTAATATCCAACCTCAACTTCCCTTGCTGCAACGTGAGCCCATTGCTCCTTGTCCTGTCATCTGCCCCCACTGAGGACAGTCCAGCTCCCTCCTCTTTGCAACCTCCCTGCAGGGGCCACGTCTACACGAGAAGCTTACTGCGCAGTAGCTCATTAGTACGGTGCAGTAACGCCACGGGGCACAAACCGCGCCACGACGCTACTGAGCAGTAGTGACGAGCTATTGCACAGCCAGCCTCACCCGGAAGCCGTGCAGGGACACTACTACGACTGCGCAGTCATTTAGTGCTTGGTTATGCAAGTCCTAAATGTCGGCGCGGTAACAACTGCGCAGTCTCGTGTAGACGTGGCCAGGGAGTTGAAGGCTGCTATTCGATCCCCATTCAGTCTTCCCTTATTCAGACTAAGTAAACCCAGTTCCTTCAGCCTCTCTGCACAAATCATGTGCCACAGCCCCCTAACCAGATTTGTTACCGATTCTCCAATTTGTCCACTCCTTTTCTGGCCCATAAATGGACACAGGACTCCAGATGTGGCCTTTCGAGTCCTGAATAGAAGGGGAAGAATCACTGCCCTCAAGCTGCTGGCACTGCTCCTACCCATGCAGCCCAATCCTAATTTTTTTGGGAAGAAACCACCGCTCCATTAACGCAAGAAACAACCGCGCCCTTATGGGAAGAAACGTACCTACAGACACAAATGCAAACACTATCATGCGGAAGGAGGTCAGCCTCCGTGGCCTGCAGCTAATGAGCTCTGGTCTTTGTGCAGAAGAAAGGCTGCTGGAAATGCAAGCCCATCGGATCCCAGTCTAGAGCTCCCGTCTGTCAAGAAGGAGAGGAAAAGCTCCCACCGAAAACAAATCGGAAACTGGATCCGATGCTTTGCGGGGCGGAGAGAAAAGTGAAACCTCCTGCAAGACTCACAGACTTGGTTAAAGAACTGAAGAGAAATGAGAACCTCTCCTCCGTTAACGGGTTTTTGCAGTTATTGGGAAGACACAGCGACAGACGCTATAACTTAGAGAGGCTCCCCAGCAGGAGAGTGAGGATGTTGGGAACTGGGAGACGGTCCCTGGAGTTAAGAAGCACTTAGGTCAGTTAAAGCCAGACAAAGGGTCTACAGAAGTTGCCTACTGCTCCACAAGTAAAGCTTGGTGTTGAATTCCTACTTCCATGTGCTTGGGTTTATTGAACCTTGCGATCACCGCACACTGGGCACGTACGGCCAGTCCCAACAGCCTGTTGGACATGCCCCGGGGGGAGCAGCGGTGCATCTGGCTCTCCTTAGGGGATCTGGCCCAGCGGGGTGGGTCAGGGGGGAAGGGGCCCTGCGTGTCTCCTTCTTCTTTTGTCTTCCCTTTTATAGGAAGCAAAGACATGAAAAGTGAAAAACTACGATGGCATCTCCTTTGCTTCCCGCTGGGTCCCAGGTGCCTTCGCC